TTTTTTTAACATTTTATGTATTTTTTAAGACTATCTATAGATCATTTTCCATAAAAAGAATGAAAGTCAACTGTAATACATCTCGTATTTCAATGACCAATGTTTACAAAAACATTGGACACTAAGATTTATCACCACCAAAATTATCAATATTAAATTTACCTTAGAAATAGAAAAAAGAAATTTATAAACTTTCTTGACTTGACAATTAATCACAAATGAAAAAACATTATATTTTTGTAGACAAACGAAAACTTTACATTATAAAATTTAATTTCTAAAACTAATTTCATTACAATATCCTAACCACAGCGAAGAAGTTTTATTGTAAGAAAACGATATTAAAATAGTTTTGCAAGGCAGTTTATGTATGCTTTAATAATAAACGTAAATTCTCCAAAATTAAAAAGTTTTTAAATTCCTTTTAAGCGAGTAAAGTAATATTTATGGAAAATGCATTCATTGATGTAGATTATAATATTAAAAATACATAAATCTCATGTCTTTAAAGCCATAGAAAATTAAAATCCTTGGTGTACGTGGCTATTAGGTTTTCAGTTACAACTATAAATTGCAGAATGTACGTGGTTATTTTTTTAATTTGATGTTATCTATATTCTGTAAAATATTAAGACGATAGATTTTTCAATGGATAATTCCGGAATAGGTTGAACTAGAAAATTGGAAAATAACGTCTTTATCTGATGCACTATGCTTAGAAAATCAAGGTTTGGTTTATTTAATAATAGACATTGATTATTTGTTTTCCAATTATAGTAGATTCGTTAGCTAGAATCAATTTTCACTCCAGTTTTCATGTTTTCTATTTTCTGAAGAATTCAGCTCTCAAAAAATATCGTATTATTTTTATTCCAGTTTAAAAAATTGGCCATATACTGCTCGTTTGTTCTATTGGGGTATCAGTTAAGTTTATATTATCTTTATTACATAATAAACTACTCATTACTAAGTGTATACATATAAGAGGCAAAAAGAAATAGTTTTTATTGTTTTACTTTAATTAAATAATATGTTTTTCTTATTTTTCAAATAATTAATTTATCTTAAATTCAGCCTTTTACGAACCTATATTTAAATTAAAAAAAAAAATTGCTTAAGTGACTGCTGATAAAAACAAGAATTAACTCCCTGTACACTACCACTGGTTTTTTGTGGAACTCTCTCTTGTTTTTTTACCTAACTGTAATAATTATTTGTTAAAAAAACATTTCTTTTTTTCTATTATAAAAAAAAATATGTAAAACTATTATATGGGTAAATAAACATTATTATATACAAAACATCATGCCCAAGGACTATTATTCTAGTTATTTTCTTTTAAACCACAATTCTTTAGATTCAACCATTAAAACATTCCAACTCAACACTTGAAATAAATAGCAACGATTCTAAAGCTTTTGTTGGCATTCATTTTCATTAAAATTAATGAGCCTTAAAATCATAGTTCCAGTCGTGTACTTGCAGAGAAAAATAAATAACTGCCTAATTTACTTGCTTATTTTTTGTTTGTTGGCTGTTTATGGTAATTGGCAAGAACCGTAAGCATTCTAAAGAAAGATTTAGCAAAGAAAACGGATTTCATAAATCAAAAACTTTTATTGAGAATATTTGAATAAAGCAAATGTTGGTTTAAAACATGTTTATTTTAGAAGATGGCTTAAAAGTTGGTAGGATGACAGTGAAAAATGGAATCGAGAGGTTTATAAATTACTTTCTTGCATGGGCTCTATGTAATGGCTTATTTTACGCTTTAAAAGGATGTAACAAAGTGCCAGTTTTATTTTCTAGGTAGTAAAAATGTTACTTTTATTCCCTAAAACGTGGTTTTTTTATATTTTACCACTCGCTTTTAATAATAACAACAAAAAATTTAAGACGTCAATTCTGGTTTTCACTATCGCTGCTGGAGAGTTTTAAGACTATAATGCGTTTAATTTTAGAGAGATTTGCAGAAAATATTTTAAACAATGTAAGTTCATTCCAGTTAAAACACAATTATGACTCTGATGAACATTCGACAAGATTGAAAACCAATGAGTATCAACATTTTCGTGCATCTTGCTCAATAGTATATCTTCTCATAATTGTATCATAAATAACTAATATTTAAAATATTTTAATACAATTTGATTAATATGAGGATACGGAATACATTATACCTATTTTTTGACCAAAAATAAAACATTAGAATTCCTTTTTTGTGAAAACATAATACCTTTATTTTATTAAATGCCAAATGATCTTTTTACTGCAATTCTCAAGTAGAAGAATAAAATACATACATCACTCATCCACAAACAAAAGATTTCGCGTTTCAAATTTCCATCAAAATCACTGATTACCAAATTGAACAAAACTTGCTCCAAGTGTTGATCCTTGTGTTATATTAGAAGTGGCGGTAATGGATTCGGAAATATGATTATGTAGTTTAATATAAATTGGGTTCTATCCTTCAAATTATTATCTAAGCAACATCTAACCACTCACTGCAAACCGTTCTATGTAATTTGTTTGCCAACAAATCCTGCTTCACTTTATCGAAGGCTTTACTGAAATCCGTGTAAATTGAGTTTGTTGTGTATTTACTTGCGCTCAATTATAGATTAATATCGCTTTCATAAATTAATAAAAGTGTAATTGTTGATTTTCATCAAGAATATTATCCTAATAGGGTAGAAACTGAGAGGGATAATATTTGAATCATACCTTAATTCAGATAAACAGAATACTCTGTATATTACAGTTTTCTATTTTAAAATTCGTTTTGTAGTAATAAAATACAAAGTAAAAACATTTTATTACCTATCCTTCTTTATTTCAACTGAACCAAATAAATAATAAAGCAAACATTCGTCAAGCAGACTTTAATTTGTTTTAATAATTCACTCTCGTTTGTAAAAGTTTAATGGATCCCTTTTATAAATATTTAAAGTCTAATTCTTTCCTAATTTGTTTAGGAATTCCATGTAGAATTATCCCAGTAACTTCTTGAACATTTTCCTCGTTTATCAACATAAATTCTCTCTTTATAGTCATCTCTGGAGATTAGTACAAAATAAATTTATTCAAACGATTATTATCGTGCCTAAGTAATTTTAGGAGAGATAATTTTGAAGAGAAAGCGTATCCATTCTAGTCCCAAAAAAAAATAAATTGTCAACTAAAGTGTGTATGAAAATGCTTGGTTGAGAATTTTCTTTCAAATAATGAAAATTGCGAACCAAGGGTCGCTGTTTAGAAATAATTTTCTTTTTTTTACTGAAAATATAAGAAACTATTTTGTGTTGACATTATAGTACATTATTTGTAAGCTGTCAATATTATATTTTTATTCCCAACCTCCCAGAAGTGTCACAAGAATTAGACATAATTTTTATTAAGTGTAGAACCAAAAAAAAGTGAACAATGAATTCGAACTACATGAAAACGAAAACACTGAAACGATAAAAAAACATTCTTAAGTTAATTATTTTAATAAAAAAACAGGAGATATGTGAAATAATTGAATTTACTAAACAACAAAGTGGTGAAACAAAGAAATAAAATTACTAGTAAAAGAAAAGCTAACTGAATTTAGTAATTTATTTCATTGTAGAAGTATCATAGATAAGCTTTTTAAAATAAAAATAAATGATCATTATTTAGTTTTCTTCTTCAATCATATACAGGATGTTCTTTAAAGAATTTAAGACGTGGTTTTGGACAAAAATACGTTTATTTAAACCAATTTACCTTATTAGAATTAGAATGCTTAAGAAGTTATGGGGTGGAGAAACTATTTTTTTTTTTTTCAATATTTTTACGATAAATCAAATATTTATTGAGTAAATATACCCAAATTTTGTAAAAGTAAGTTTTTTTGGGTGATACAAACCCTATAAATTGTCTATCATTTTCAATTATTGTACTTTACATAATTTTATAGTAATTAATGATGTTTATTCTTATACAATCTTATACAATCTTATTACAATCTACTTTATTCTTATACAATTTAACTTCTTCTTTAAATATATTCGTAAACGTGACACATCGCTTTGTTTGTTCTGAATATATCGAAAATATCAACAAAAAAGTCCTTAAATTACAATTTTCACTTTGATAAAGACCCTTTCTAGATAAATTGACTTTGTGTTCGCTATTGCTTCCGGGTTTTCTGAAAATTGCCTCCGCTTAGCTTTGTTGGAATCTATTGGCTTGGAATTTTTTCTTTTTTATTTATATAAAAAATGAAATTGGGAAATATAATGCCTTTGATTTATTTAGTCAATGGAATATGCTAATAAGTATATATGAAAAATGTTTACAATTTAAAATATTTATTTCATCAAAAAGAGAAAGTTGTTTATACAAGAAACATAATTCATAAATTTACAGTCATTTAATCACATTCCTAAATCACTTTAGGAATAAGCAAAAATAATTTAACAATTTTAAAAATAATTCATGAAGCTTTGTCAAATAATATAAATTTCTTAACTCTGCAGCTTTTGTCGATAGAATATTACAACTCTCTGTTTATACATTTTTAAACATCTATTATCTTATCTTGCATATTTCAGAAAAGTTTATTTTTAGCTTCCAAAAATATTACCTTTTTTTCGCTCCTCCAATAATACTCGGCAAAAATAGAAACAAAATTTTTCAATATTGATGGGCTATCGAATAATTTTGCAGTGAAAAAATATTGAATTTAAAAATTTGGTGGATGCCTTTAATAGTTATGTAACAGATATTTAAATTTTGGTGTAAGCGCTGAAAATGCTTTCCTATTACTAATAATCAATTTGACTGGTATGTATATAAAATGGAAAAACCTGACAGTGTCTTTCCCGAAAATAGAACAAATTTTTCGCATTTTTCCGAGAGCCAAGTTTATGTAATAAATAATGAATATTTCCCATAAGAATTAAATATCATTCAGTTTGACCAGGTCACAATTTTTTATTATTATAAAACATAAATAAGTAAGAATTTCGTATGATTCAATTATTATTACTTCTTTGGAATTACATTTATATAATGATTAATAAATATATAATATAATTTAATATACTTAGTAGAAATAAAAATTTAAAACAGTACACTCTTGATCCTTGATTCAGTGTGTATGTGATAAAATCCAAGTATCTGTCTACTCTTGTAAAAACGGCTGGTTTACCCGAAGCACACTGTTTTTCACCAATATAAGACGCAATTCCAATCTGCATGTCATTACAGATTAGAGGACCTCCAGAATCACCGTAGCAAATATCTTGACTTCTAGTAGAATCTATACAAATTTTACTATCCGCTTTTGCCAATAAATTACCCGGTAATTTAGTTAAACATTGTCTTGTGGGTAAAATTCCAATATCCATACATTGTACGTGCATTGCCTGAAGATGCGATCTTTTTTTTGCTATTCCAAAACCTACAGCAGTACCTTTTTCGCATATGTCTGTGAGGTGTTCTTGATGCAAAATAGGCAACGGGAGGTAATCGACCTCTGAATTATTGTATATTGGTTTAGATAACCTCATTAGTGCTATATCGTTGATTATGTTGCTGTACTGATAATCCGGATGACCGTAAATTTGGTCTACTGCCACGACGGGACAGCTCCAAGGTAACCAACCATCAGTATCAATGTATTTATCTACGAAAAATAAGGATTTTTATATTAAAAATTTCTACACTTTATTTATTATATACGAAGAAAAATATATTCTAGAATATCTACACTATTAATTAAATTTTGAACATTATTAAATTATTACAGTAATCAAGAAATAAATGAAATTAAACTAAATTAATTATTAAAATGTAATAGTACAAAAATAATAAAAAATATTGTCAGTTATGTAGAATAACTTTAGTTAAAAATGTTATTTGAAATATAACAATAATATATCACAGAGTATTTTGAAAATATTGCAAATTTTAAAGATTTAATGCATTTTTTAAATTCGAATTTTTAATTTGTAATAATTTTTGGTTATATTTTGTCAAGAAAGTGGTTGCTGTACACGAATTAATGATCTTTTCAAAAAAATTATTCTATTAAATTCCAAGATACAGGTAATTGTTTATAAATTATTTTTAAACTTTAATATACCGTACATTTTTCAATGAGGGCTAACATAGAGAAGTTGTGCCCTGCATTTGTAGTCTATTACGATATAATGTAACTGTAAAACAAAAATACTTATAAATATTAAAATATTACCTCTAATATAAGCTGGACTGGCATAATAGCAAGTACAACTCATTTCGCAATGAGCGGCAGTCAGAATCCAAAATGGACTAATCAAACTGGCACTACATATGGGCATTCCAAAGAAACTTGTCAGAGCAATCGCATATTTTCTTTTATCTCCACCGCAAGCGTGGCCCCCAATTATGCGGGTATGGAATTTCGGGTCATCCGCAGTATTTAAATTTAAGCAAAACAGCGATAGTAAGAGGATTTTTAGTATCATAAATATTGCATTTTTTTATCACAAAATTTCAATGTTTTGAAATATGTACATTACTGACATTTAAGGCATTAATTATTGTCAAGTATGACAAAGGTGTAAACCCATGATACAAAAAAAACAGAGGTATGATACGAAATTTTGTCAAATTCACGCATGACATATTGTAGTGTGAAATATGGTTATCTCATGGTCAGTTGATACGATACATTAGTTAAAGTGACGTCTTCTACCATAATACGTCATCGTAGAGATGCCCGAAAATTATTTAAAATCTAGCCTCAAACTGTATTTGAGGTTATTTTCTGCAAAAATACACAAATTTTTAACAAACTACGCTTTTACAATCGTAATCGTTAATTTTAACAGCAAAATATCGTAGTTTTTATATAAATTGTAAAGATTTTATATCAAAAATAAAATAATGATAATAGAGACTTACAAAATTTCAAAATGAAATTTCTCAAAACAATAGTATTTTAGTTGTGACAGTTATGGCAACATGGCGCTTGCCGCATTATGATCAATGCTATATATCGTTTTTGAGATTGCTCATCCATATTTAAATAGGACTATAAAAAGATCCTTTCCTGGTATTCACTGAATAGAATCGTTCTGGTCTAAACGTGTTTTAAAATAAATTTTTATCATTTAAATATTTATAAACAAAAAAAGGAATAATCAATTTTACTTCAAGACACGATAATATGTTAGGTGTTTTGAAATCGTATTTTTTTGTATTGTAAAGTTGAGTTTCCATATAGTCAAAAAATATTAAGAAATCTAAACAATTTTAAAAAAGGTAAGTTAAACTTTTACAGTGATAAAAATATTGAATTTAAAAATTTGGTGGATATTCTTACTAGTTATGTAACTGATATCTAAATTTTGGTGTATGCGCTGAAAATGCTTTCCTATTAGTAATAATTTTAATGAATTTGACTGGCATATTTAAAATATAAAAACCTGACAGTGTATACTCCAAAAACGCATCAAATTTTTCTCATTTTTCCAAAAGCCAGGTTTATATAATAAATAATAAATATTTTCCATTACGTTATATAAGAATAAATTTAAAAATTTGGTGGAAGACAATAGAGAATATTTGACACATTTTTATATGATTCTAGCATCCATCTTCTCTCTTTTGATGTGGAAATTTGGTGGGCTTCTACCAGCCTGATGGGTAAATGCCCGGGTGAAGTTATTCTATCACCTGCTCCACAGAACAAACAACATAAACCATTAATTATTATGTATAAAATGTACATTTAAATCTATAAAAATCTTAATGACAATAAAACAGAATGCACAGCTGGGCAGTACTCAAAGTGTATTTAAAATACTCCGTAATAGGTACTCGACATTTTTAACACCAAGAATAAACGTTCATTTGGGAATATAACTTAACATTTCGTCACGGTATAGAAAATATTACAATCGCGTGACTAGAAGGCAAACTAAGAATTATTTTACTTTCTCTTTCCAAGCCTTATATTCCCGATTAAATAATATTTTTCGTAATTTATAACGGCTCGATACCCTACTAAAATTCGAGAACCGTTAAGTCGATTCTGTCGATTCGTTTTAATTGTTAATTAATTGGTAGATAAATCCCCGGGAAAACAAACCAAAGAAATTGATAAAAATTTAAAAAATTCTGCCGATGTCCTAACTGCTAGATCACTAACGCTTGTGTATCTGCCGTTCTAATTGTTAATTTGAGTATTTAGATTCGATTCCAAGGTAATTTATCAGAATCTAGTAACGAAAATACGCCGCAGTTTAAAAAAGTCGGTATATTTCGACTACAATTGATATCTGAGTATTTCAGAAATCTATAAAATAACCACTAAAAAGTTTATGCTCCTGAAGTTTTTGTTTTAACGTTTGTAAGATTATGTTTGCCTCTGAAAAAATACTTATATTAAACGATGTGATACATACACTCGTAGTTTCTGTACATTTCATAAATAATGTTTTGGAGAGCATTTCTATCAAAAAAAATCACTGAAAGTAAAACAATAGACTTTACAATATTCTTTATATTATTTAAAACCTAAACCGCGCTAAACAGTATTTTATTTTTGCCTAATTACTTCAGAAAACGTTTGTTAAGAAAAAACGCTGTCACTTGTCATTAACAACGCGTTGACATTGGGCTTAAGTCATTATACAATTCGAATTTTTTTATTTATTACTAAGAACTAAAGCAGAAAAGATCTTATAGAAAAAATAAATAAAAAAATCTTCATTATAGTTGTGGCTTATTTACATTTAAAAAATCGCATATATTAATGAAGTTGGCTTAATTAAAATAATTTGTTTCAGGTAATCAAAACTTTATTTGTATATTGTGAGCGGTGATGGTAAGTTAATTAATTTTACAAAATTTAATTACAAAAACACTGACGTATTTCGTAAATGAAAATTTAATACGGATGGGATGCTAAAACAAATATTTAATATTCCTATAATATTTAAAAATGGAAAGAAAACATTTTTCGTATTTTTAAGCAATGCATTTTTAAATACTTTTAGAATAAAATTCCATATTTTTCGAGTTTAGTTTGTGCGCTTTTGATGGTAAAAAAGCTAAAAATTAAAGTTATTAATTGATTTCTACTGTTTTTCATGATAAAAAAAAATAGAATGCTTAGACAACTTACCTAAATCCGTAAATACGACATTTGATAAGAATCTATAAGAATCTATAAGAATCTATAAGAATCTATAAGAATCTATAAGAATCTATAAGAATCTATAAGAATCTATAAGAATCTATAAGAATCTATAAGAATCTATAAGAATCTATAAGAATCTATAAGAATCTATAAGAATCTATAAGAATCTATAAGAATCTATAAGAATCTATAAAAATCTATAAGAATCTATAAGAATCTATAAGAATCTATAAGAATCTATAAGAATCTATAAGAATCTATAAGAATCTATAAGAATCTATAAGAATCTATAAGAATCTATAAGAATCTATAAGAATCTATAAGAATCTATAAGAATCTATAAGAATTTATAAGAATCTATAAGAATCTATAAGAATCTATAAGAATCTATAAGAATCTATAAGAATCTATAAGAATCTATAAGAATCTATAAGAATCTATAAGAATCTATAAGAATCTATAAGAATCTATAAGAATCTATAAAAATCTATAAGAATCTATAAGAATCTATAAGAATCTATAAGAATCTATAAGAATCTATAAGAATCTATAAGAATCTATAAGAATCTATAAGAATCTATAAGAATCTATAAGAATCTATAAGAATCTATAAGAATCTATAAGAATCTATAAGAATCTATAAGAATCTATAAGAATCTATAAGAATCTATAAGAATCTATAAGAATCTATAAGAATCTATAAGAATCTATAAGAATCTATAAGAATCTATAAGAATCTATAAGAATCTATAAGAATCTATAAGAATCTATAAGAATCTATAAGAATCTATAAGAATCTATAAGAATCTATAAGAATCTATAAGAATCTATAAGAATCTATAAGAATCTATAAGAATCTATAAGAATCTATAAGAATCTATAAGAATCTATAAGAATCTATAAGAATCTATAAGAATCTATAAAAATCTATAAGAATCTATAAGAATCTATAAGAATCTATAATAATCTATAAGAATCTATAAGAATCTATAAGAATCTATAAGAATCTATAAGAATCTATAAGAATCTATAAGAATCTATAAGAATCTATAAGAATCTATAAGAATCTATAAGAATCTATAAGAATCTATAAGAATCTATAAGAATCTATAAGAATCTATAAGAATCTATAAGAATCTATAAGAATCTATAAGAATCTATAAGAATTTATAAGAATCTATAAGAATCTATAAGAATCTATAAGAATCTATAAGAATCTATAAGAATTTATAAGAATCTATAAGAATCTATAAGAATCTATAAGAATCTATAAGAATCTATAAGAATCTATAAGAATCTATAAGAATCTATAAGAATCTATAAGAATCTATAAGAATCTATAAGAATCTATAAGAATCTATAAGAATCTATAAGAATCTATAAGAATCTATAAGAATCTATAAGAATCTATAAGAATCTATAAGAATCTATAAGAATCTATAAGAATCTATAAGAATCTATAAGAATCTATAAGAATCTATAAGAATCTATAAGAATCTATAAGAATCTATAAGAATCTATAAGAATTTATAAGAATCTATAAGAATCTATAAGAATCTATAAGGATCTATAAGAATCTATAGGAATTTTTAAAAATCTATGAATCTATAATAATTTATAAGAATCTATAAGAATCCCCATTTACAAACTAAATTTTTCCATTTTAGCAATTTCACCACCTCAGCATGGGTCAAAATTGACAATTTTTGATGACGTTAATAATTTCCATATCAATAAATTGTATTGAAACATTTAAACTATAAAATTTAACGTTTTTTTCACTTTATTTTCAAAAATTAATAATTTATTTGAATAATTGAATCGTCTTGTTTCTTTTGTGCAGTGCAGTAATTTTGTTCAATGCTACGAAAAACGATAAATAACAAGGAATTGAGAGTTGCCTTATTTTTGACAGACTTTGTCACTCATCTGGTACATTTATCAGAGCTATTATTTAGGTTGAAAAAGATAAAATAAATAAAATTAATGTCTGTTTTGTAAACCAGTAATATAAAAAATAATGCACAAGTTATTTGTATTATAAATTTAAAGTACCCTAAAAATATTAATTATTTTTCGTCTGCCTTTCCATTTTCTCCTTCCACACATTTCCTGTTTATTTTACAAATGAAACAAGCCACTCGAATTTTTAAGCGGAGTTTTAATATAAAAACAGTTAATTTGAGGAATATAACGAAAAAATAACAGTTGTTAGCAAAATATTTATTAAATTTTCGTTAGTTTATATCTAAAATATATTCACCATTATGGTGCAAAACACAATTCGGATATTAATCATTCTGGTAAACGGTTTTTTAAAACGAACGAAAGAGACTTTTTTGTTACTGCGGACTTTGTGTTTGATACAGGGCTGGAGCGCGCTGAATATTTTTAATAAAGAAAATTCTAAAGATCACTCCAAA